GGGGGGGCCAAGTCGTGGTAACGTGTTTCTGTGTATGTAACAATGTAGCGTAGGGCGTAGTTGTTTGACAAGCAGCACTGGCAAGTGTCCATGTGCGCGGAGGACGATGTCGGTCCCGTGGACATAGAAGGATCTGATGTGGAGAACGATCTCGAGCACGAAGATGCGATAGAGCGCATGGATTGCGCCGAACATCCTGTGAGCCGAGAAGCTTTGAAAGAAGTACTCTTTCGTGAGAAAGACTGGAAGCGTTGCCTGGCGGGACGCGACAACCGCACGAAGTTTGCTCTGAGCAGATTGAAGCAAGTGGTTGAGGCCATGGGTGGCTTGCCCAATGTGACTGTCAACGTTGAAGGCGAGCGTCCTCTGGATGGTGCTCTTCGTCGCGCATGGGCCTATGCTGAAGCACAAGACATGTTTGACCGGCAATCCCAGTACCTGGAGAATCTGTCTGGAGGCCTTCTGCGTCAGATAGACAGTATTTTTGTTGAGAGCTTCTGCACTGTGCGACACGAGCTTGAGAGATATAATTTTGTTCTGTGAATTCGGTGTCGTTAGTCTCGCGCGTGAGAGTCGGAGAAAATATTTTGTCTTGTTATCACGATAGCGCCCGGAGACGGAGGATATAGTTGGACTCAGCATTTTTTTTGCAGCTACTCGTCGTTTAGTTTTTTACAGACATTGATCCATACGCCAGGTGTTCCAGATGATGCTGAGGAGGAGTTTGTCCCGAGTGGCCTGGAAGCGATGACTGCGACGGATCCGTTCTTGATGGATCTGAACGCGCAGAATCTGCGACCGAGGGACTATGCCTTGAAGCTGGTGGAGGACCAATGCTGGTGGAAAATCATGGGGTGGATCGAACGACTGGTGTCCTTAAGTAGATGTTTCTGGGAGAGTTTATTGCATAGAGGTTTCTTGTTCAATGGGACCAGATTCTAATGGGACCGTGTGAAAGTTCTGAGAAAGTCGCAAGTGTTCCGAACACGCGACAGGAGTGCACACTCAACGCACAGCAGATTCGCGCTGTGGCTCCCATTGTTTGCATGATCGATGAAATGTGGGAGAAGCGCACCGAAGCAAGCACCTGCTTCGCCAATGGCCAGCCCAGTGAGCGGTGCAACTGTCTATGGCTTGGCGCGGGGGGCTCGGGCAAAACGTGGGCGTACACCAAAGTCTTGCGACCTTTGTTCCAGCGCTTCTTTGGCTTTGGTCGCTACACTGCCGGGGCACCGACCCACGCGGCCGCGCGGTTGTTGGGGGCAGAAGCTAGAACTCTGCACAAACTGGCGAACATTTCCCCCAACTCCGCACTACACCGCGGCGCCATCCGAGGGCAGCGGAACAAAAATGATGCCCTGGAGCAACAGATTCTGGCGTCATTGGCCTGCATCGTCGATGAGCTGTCGATGAGCGCAGCGGATGTATATCATGCTCTTGGCCTGCGCTTCTCGGTGAAGCGCTGTGAGAACTGGGCGCTGGACCTGAGCCGCTATCTGCAGGAGTGGTTCGGCAAGATGCCGATAGGGCTACAATTGGGCGACTTCCTACAGTTGCGCCCTGCCGCCCAAGCGAGCCTCTGCGAATGGGTGGAAGTTCCGTCAGCGGTAGAACCAGCGCCGCTGACGGAACTTCAAGAAGCCGAAGCCCCAGAGCAGGCCAGCAACGCAGCCGAGCTGGGGCGGCTCTTGTTCAAGAACTCCATGGGCATTGTGGTGCGCTTCACTGGAACTGGGCGTTTCTCTTCTTGTGCTTCCGGCCAAGCTTTGGTGGCCATTTTGCAGCACACGCGGCAAGGCACCGCCATGACGGACGCACTCTGGGCGCAACTCCAGAGTCGCGTCTACGAGGTCCAGCAACTGCAAGACCTCCAGGCCGCACCTTCGCGCCGGGCGTTCTTGCGGGCCTACTGGGGTGCACTTGCCTGGGAGCAGGTTGCTCGGTTGCAACAGTTGCGAGCAGTGCTCGAGGCGGAAGACGCTGGAGAACGGCTGTACTTCGTGCAAGCCATCGACAAGCCCACCGGCGACGCCACGCTGTCTTCCGCCCAGGTCAGCGCAGCTCTGCAGTGTTTGAACATGACCAAGACTGGCTATTTGATTGGCATGTGTCCGTTGTTTCTTGGGATGGAAGTGCGCATTTCGTGCATCTTGCCGGAGCCCTTGCTGACGCGCGAGCTCCCGTGCATAGTGCGACGCATAGAACTACATCCCAAAGAACCTCCGACGCCACCTGGAGCAGCTTGCGTGGTCCTGCAGTACCAGCCGCTTGGAGTCTTGGTGGAGGTCGCAGACAGTGATTATGGTCAGTTTCAGGTCCCTGGCGACGACGTACCCAAGGGTCATTTCTACGTGAGGCCTGTGTTCAACAAGCAATCGGCCTGGGTCTTTGAGGTTGCGCCCAAGCAGAAACTTCGACTTGTTCGGAAACAGGCTTGGGACGCACTAACTTGTTTTGGGCTCTCTGGTATACATCGTATCGTCGTCGTGTCGGTCTGTCTTTCTCGTTTAGTTTCCTTTATGCGCAGGTACCCTTGGCCCCACAGCGAGTGCTGACTCATTTTGGACTGCAAGGCATCACTGCCAGATCTGGCCTGGTCGCTTTTCTGAATCAACCTCCCTGGATGAAGGATGGAGATTACGGTTTGGCCCTCTATGTCATGTTGTCGCGAGCAACGAAGTTGAGCGATTTATGGCTCATTGGAGTGCCTGAGCGCACATATTTCGAAGGCTTCTTGCATGAGCACAACAAGACTTTGGTGGATCGTATGAGCCTGTTTGAACGTCTGTCTGTGCAGAATGAGCAAGCTGCGGAAAAGTACATCCAGAAGCTGCTTTGGAGGGGAAATGCTTACGTGAACCGCACGCTTGGTGTTTCTGGAACAGGACAAGCCAAGAGGCGGAGGCTGACAGGCAAGACTGCTGTGGCCTGAGTCTACGTGGTCTGTTGCAAGTGGATACGAAGATCCGACGCAATCACCTCGGAGAAAGTGGACGTAGCTTTGCTTAGCAGACGTTTCAGCAAGGTCGGGGTTCCCAACGAGAACAGATAAGCTGTAGATCTTTTTTTGATAGTGTTTTGATAGTGGTGCTGGGACGTGCTCTGGTTTTGGGTCGCGGGTCGCGTGGCCTGCGGCTGCAGGTCCGACACCATTGCTTTTGGCTCCGGGCACGAACGTGCGTCAACGGAACACTGAGACAACGCCTCAGTATTTGGTTCTGTAGAATAGTTCGTTTTCGATCTTGCTCGATGTCCGATGCAGCAGTGACCTCTCAGGGGATGGACGTTATTCTGCGGAATGACTGCGGTGGGTAGATGCAACGCCGCAGGGAGGTCGGGGACCCCAAAGAGAACAGACAAGCTTAAGGTCTTAGACATCGTGAAAGCATCTTGTCGCAATAGTCATCTTAGTACTCTGGTTCTATGTGATAGTTGCCTAGAATCTCTAACTGTAGTTCTTTGTCGTGGTTTGCTTTGCATTTTGCGCCAGGTCCGACGCCAGTGCCTCTGACTGAGGCAATGAGCGTGGTTGTGTGGAAGATAGTCACAACGCCTCAGGGAGGGCGGGGATTCCCAAGGAGCATACAAAAGCTTGAGATCTTTGATCTTCTGAAATGTTCTGTTGATAATAGTGATGGGCAGTACTCTGGTTCTGTCGTATAGGTTGTTCTTTAGATCTTTGATCTTGCGAAAGTTTGTGTTGACAATAGTGATGGGAAGTCCTCTGATTCTGTTGTATATCTTTGATCTTCTGAAATGTTCTGTTGACAATAGTGATGGGCAGTACTCTGGTTCTGTCGTATAGGTTGTTGTTTAGATCTTAGATCTTGTGAAAGTTTCTGTTGACAATAGTGATGGGAAGTCCTGAGT